AGCCGGGAGAAGTGATAAAAAACTTTAATAATTGTAATTTTTAATAATAATTTATAAAATAATGGCCTTCGATAAAATCGAATATTATCATAATTTTCCGCTATATCTTGTTCGATAATATTGAGAGAAATCGCCGTCGATAAAATCACAATTTTATTGTAAATTTATGCGATGAAATTGCAATTTAGCGCAATTTTGTGTCCAATCATATTGTAATAAGTTGACACCGATAAAATTGAGATACTTTCTCCGATCAAATCGCAACTTATCACGATCACTGCTACTTGGGATTGGTGACTTATCAGAAGGCAATAAACAGTGATAAAAGAGAAACTTACCCAGAGGAGGAGAGCAAATCGATTTGTTTCAGACATTTTTGCAACTGACTTGAATGATGAACGCTTGTCACCTGCCTCGATCTGGGCCCATGCGTGATTTATAAAAGATTCTCAGTCCTTTTTTCTCCCTGTTTTCCTCCTATTTTTCGTCTAGCGAAGAGGATTTTTGCAATGGTGCAGCTGTTATTACTCACTGTCTTGCGCAAGCGACACACCTCATATTTTGGGTGAATGAAAAACTCCCAGACAGAGATCGTGGTCTCAACATTGCAAAACAGATCAAAATGTAAAAAGAAAGCAATATCAAGGAACAGATGGTAGAACCAGAGAAGCTTAATTGCATGCAACGCTTCAAACTAATGACTGTTTTCCCCTTTCGCGGGTGAATATTTTACGCAAAAAATTTCAGGAAATGTTCATTAAATGTTAAGGAAATTAAAAAAAAAAAAAACATAAAAGTTTTTAAGTAAATATAGATAAATTGGTAAATGAAACGTTGCATCCATAAAAGATGACTAAACCGATCTGGCTTTCATCATCTCTTCAATTATGCAGTAGCTGAGTGGGCTGATTGTTGAAATTAACAGACAAAGCTATAGACAAAGAGGACATGGTGTATAGAGCGATCCTGTTGGTTGAAATGGGTGGTTTTTATAGACTAAGGAGCAATAATGATGGACTAACCATGGGGTCTCTTGTTGATTGCCGTTACTTAGTCTACTACCAATCTCCTATGTCCATTGCAATCATCTTTTTCCACCAATAGGATCCCCCTATATCCCTTATGTCTTGTTTGCATCAGTTTCGAAAATCTTCTATTCTAATTTCTATCGATCTCTATCTAAAAATTCTATTCCCATCTAAAACATTTCTATAGATTAAATAGTTAACAATATGGAGTTCAGAGTGCCATAAGCGTTAATCCAAAAAATGACATCTACATCCAGACTCCATGAGACAATTTCAAAATCGGACCCTTCCTGTCCGAAATACCGATCTTCAAAGTTGGGAAACAGGGCCCTCCCTAGATAAAATGATGGGTCACTAAATTGGCGTGGAGGCCAGGTAAAAAGGTAAAGGTTAACAGACTCCAAGGAATCCGAATTTGACGGTTCCAAAGCCCCCTCTCCCATTTTTTATTCTTTAAAATAAAAAGTATAAATTAATCCGCGGGGGCATCGCTGACAGGACACAGGGCAAGCTCGGGACTTGTCTAATTTATAAGTTTAGGGTCCCTCTTCTTCTCCATCAATGAAGCCCCATAAGGAGCTTCAAACCCATCAGATTTGGATTCCTTGGAGTTGTTCACCCATTAAGACACTTGTTTTCGGGCCTCCACGTCAACTTATTGATCGAGCATTTTTTCAAAGAAGGGCTCTGTCCCGCGACTTCAAAGGTCAATATTTCGGACAGAAATGGACCGATTTTGGACTTTTTGGTTTTGTCAGATCAATAATGTCCATCCTTCATGATTTTGATCAAATAATTTTGAAAGTATATCGAAAACTCCGAATTTTAAAGTTAGGACAACCTTTTTGGTCTCCAAAGAGAAGCGGAGGGGCCTTGGGAATAAAATGAAAAACGGATACTCGAAGGTCAATTCCCTGTATATTTCTACAGTTTTCGACTTCGTCCGATCAAAACTAACTGATAAATAAGCTCGGTAAGGGTGATCTGGGGTACACTGTATGTGATTCTCCACTTGAGATGGGATCTTACTTTAGCTACGCAAATTATTCGAGAGACCTTTTTTCTTCCGTCAGGTCGAAAATTTGAAGTTTGAGTTTTTGACGCAAATAAACCTCTATCATTCTAAAGGGTAAGTTGCAAGATGTTTCGTTAGTTCTTTTTTTTCCTAGTGGCACAGGAATTGCATTTTTCCGTCAATTTGGAGCCCGAATAGGGCAGATTAAAACTTCAAACATTTTCTCGTGCCATATTTCATATCGTTTGAACTAAAATGTTAGCAAAACATCCCTTGAACTAAAATGTTTACAAAACATCCCTCCAGGCTAGGGCACCAATTGTTCGATTTTGAGTATTTCAGTAGGAAGATCCCTCAATCCGCAGACGGTTGCGTGCTTGCTCTCAACAATTCGTTGCAACCTGTTCCGGTAAAGTGGATACGCAATATGTTTTTCCAGCGTGATTCACGCAAGGGTTTGCACTGACACCATCGGCATGCTATGCCAATATCTGGAGTCTGTCACGATCAAGGTGTTTCAGAATGCAAACTTACCTGTGTTCTAAGATTTTGGAATTTTACGTGAAAAAATGGCTGCAATCCTAGGTGGAACTTGGAATTTTCTGAGGGACACTGAGGGGCACCGCACCTCATCAAGGTGGTCTGAGGAAGGGGGAGGGGCGCAGAAATGCATCTTATCGAGAGAATTATGGGGATAGACTCCCCTCAGCTCCCAAAGGGGGTTCGCAGAACCAGCCCATGAAAATTTTGAAAATTAAGATATCTCAGAGGCTATACTTAACGAGTTACTGTGACTGAAAAATTGATTGAAATAAAGTTTCAAAGATGGCAGAAATGTCATGCGCACTTATTTTTTTAATCTTCCACATCTTCTGAAAAAGGAAAAGTTTAATTCTGGAAGCAGCAGCCCCCTCCCCCCCGTCGCCCTCCTAATTCTGCCCTTGGGCTCAGGTCAATTTACTTTCAAAATTGTCTATCAAGATCACCTTAGATTTCCACGTGATAATGACTAAGACTTCTATTACAAAAGGCGCCACGATTACAGTCAGATTCCACCTAGAAAACCATTTAAAACTCAACACGACTGATACTTAGCTTCATTAATAATATACTCCAATAAATTCTGCTGATGTAATTGGTCAACATGTTAGCTTGAGGTTTTTCCTCGTATATTAGGGGGAAAAAAATTTATCAACATATAGAGTGATACCTTTTGTCAGCTGAAGATAAATTATGTTATTCTATGTTATGCAAAAATTTCGAAACCTCCAAATTTCAAATCGCTGGCTTTGATATAAAACAGATCGATTTATTCATCACATTATTCGATATTTTCGATTCAATGGTCCCAATACAACTCAATTTTCAGAGCATCAAAATTCAAACGAGCCAATCAGATTCTAATTTTATAAGATACAGTTATCAAATGACGTGCCCACTAAATTGATCTATTTAACAAGGAGAGTTACAGGAGGAATGGGAGAGAAAGGGGGGGGGTGAAAGAAAAAGAGTTGACACGTCTTTGTTGTGCCTAAAGTAACTCTAGGATAACGCAACTTTTATTATTTTTCCTATGCTAGGTACATCCTTCCCGTTCATGACGAACAAAAACCAATACCCCGGTATCAATATGCCGGAATCTGCAGGTAGAACCGCATTATATGAGTTCGCGCTGGCTGCTCTCAGGTCCAGGGGGACTCTCCTTTGATCGGTATCAACGGTGTGCGTGGCGCTGCCCAAACGGACGAGACTCGCCGAAATGATCTTACCGTCCGTCTTGAAGGCAAGTCTTCCTCCCGGTCTGACCGTCGCAGAGGACACGGCCGTAATGACAGGTCTGGTCGCCCTGCTCCCATCAGAGTTGAAGAGGTAAGCCGGGGAGTATATCTGAAAGTCGAAGTGGTTCGTATCGCAGCTTCCGCAAAGCCCACCGCCCCCGCTGATGACAGTGGCGTCCTGGAGGAGGACAGCGAAAGAATGGTAGTTGCGGGGTATGGAGTTGGGGGCCGCCGGTCGGAAGCGATCTTTCTTCGGACAGTAGATCTCCGACGTGTTCTGCCAACCCTCGTCGAAGAACGGCGTGCCTACAACCTGACCACCAACGATGAAAACCTCGCCGTTGGGCAACACCACGCCGTTGTGGTAGATCCGCGGGAAGTTCATCCTATTTCCCGTCTCTTGGACCTGAGGGTCCGCCTTCGGGTTCCCGATGGTGATAAGATGGGCGTTGGTCGTGGCCGCCTCTTGCATGTAGCTCGGCGCTCCTCCTGCGGTCAAGATCTTCCCGGCAACCGCGTCGAACATCACGGCCACTCCGCACATAGCGTCCGTATCCCTGCCGCGAGACCCAGCACCTCGGTGGCCACCCGCGCCGGTGGTCGAGTACCAGTTCATGGCCTTACTCGGACCGGCCTGAAACACGGAGTTGCCTTTCCAGGCAAACAGCCAACCGTGGTTGTCCCCACGGTAGGTGCCCTGTTTGTCCGCCGTTACCATTGGTTGTACAGGGCACCCAGGGAGCAAACTCCACCTATTGGTCGTCGGATCGTAGATCTCTCCGTTTTTATTACCCACCCCCCCGTTCCACGATCCACCGATCACGAAGATCCGTCCGTCACTGCAGAGCGTCGACGCCTGGTACCCTCTCGAGATGGTCATATTCGGACCCGAGACCCACGAGTCGACGCCCGGTTCGTAGATGCTCGTTTTGGAGGCGTCGTTGCCACCCGTTACGAAGACACGCCCGTTGGCATCTTGGCAGAGCCCCGGGCAGAACATGTCGTGGTGCGTGTCCGTAACCGTGCGTTGGGAGATAGTCCTTGTCGTCGGGTCGTAGGTGGCCGTGAACGTCAAGCCACCCGGACCCCCCACGAAGGCATCGTTCGAGTAGGACGACCACATGAGGACCTTCCCGTCGTGCAAGACGGCGACCGCCGAGGGGACGATCGGGCAATCGATCGTCGGCCCCCAGATCCCGAGGCTCGAGTGCGGGGTGGTGAAGGTGGGCGTCGTGAAGACGCCTAGTTCTGCGACGCAGGTGAAGGGTTGATTCTCTGGCTCGGTCGTGTGGACGATCCTGATGTAGCGGGCTTTGACGGCCTCGAAGACGGAAAACTTCTCCGTCGTGTCCGCGAACCAAGTGCCGAGGGCCACGGGGTCGCTGAAAGTCCTGCCGTCCAGGCTGACGTGTATGGAGTGCCCGGCGATTATGCCGTTCCTTCCGCCGTCTTGCCGCGGGAGCATCGCGATTCCGATCACGTTGCGGATTTCCTTCAGGTCGATGGTCATCGTGTGCGGTAGAGGGGTGGCTGTCGGCTCATACTCGCTGTGGTAGAATGATGCTGGGTCGCCGTCTATCATGTTGCTGCACTCGTTCCCCGCGTGGGAGTTTTCGCAAGTGACCGTCCAACTTTTACGGTCGAGTAGGCTGCCCGCTCTCGGAGGTGCTGCGTCGAGGACTAGTTGCGACAGTAGGCCCCTGTCTGCCATACCCTCTCCCATCATCGATTCGATGAGGTTCCTCCCAAGAGTTTCTTTATGTAGGCATAATAACACATGAAGGATGACGGTCGTAACTGAGTGTTTGATCATAATGATTTGGCGCACCCTCCAAGTTCGAGATGCTTGAGAATTTTGTAGTGAAGAGATTGAGTCAAAAATCCGTATATTTGCTAGCTGCGCGTCCTCACAAAATCATTTTTAAGAATCTGCGTGGTAATTGAAGGGTATGGTGCACCGCATGTTAATCTGAGAATCATGGACTGTATCTGATGAGCCGCAATTTTATCGTCGAGCAGTGCGGATATACCGGTAATATTGACCTGGAACAAGCAGTTGCGATTATTGTATGTTGAGAACACTGTATTTCATCAGACTACAGAATACTATTGACTCTATAAGATTAAAAGAAAATTTTAAAAAAAAACCATTTTGCGACAATGATAGATATTTAATTGATAAAAGATTGCGGAAAAACTGATAATTTTACTTCAAAAATTCTTGAAATTTTTTCATTTTGCTTTACTTTACATGCCAACTCATCGATTGTTTTTCCTTTTTTAGTTTTCTTAATTTTTAACCGAATGTAATTTAAATAAGACCATGCGAATTGGCCGATGCTTTTGCCCAGTCCGTGAACTGCCATTCCGCAGACTGGCCGTTCAAAAGTTTGAAAATTACGCCAATAAGCAATCCATTCACTGACCGACGCATGCTCCCTGCTGACCGATTTCTAACGAATATTTTACGGAATATTTACCCTAATAAAAATTGGCAGTAGAATGTGTGTTCCAAAATACTATAGACCTAAAGCCGGCTGTAAGATTTCCAATAGCTTCTGTAGCCGGCTGTACAATTTCTTTTAGCCTTTTACAGCCGATGGCGATTAAGCAACAGCCAGACGATAAAGTTTATGCTAAACTTTACTAATTACGGATGCTAGGACTTAGTTAGTTTTTGGACTACCGATCTCTTTTTGTGCCGTAGTATCTTGATTTACTTTGCGAGGAAATCTCCGTACTTTTGAAGGACGCCTGTCATTCCTAATATGTTGGAGCGCCTTCAATTTCGTATGATACTGTGCAATACCTCTGGTGTGAAATAGTTGCTTCAAGCGCCGTGGCACGCTGCGGCGCGGCAGGCCGGCAGCCAGCGCGAAACGCGCATTGGCGCCTACAAACCTAACAGGGATACTTCACGCGTTTCGCAATGCGTGAAGTATCCCTGTTAGGTTTGTAGGCGCCAGTGCGTCGCCGCTCCGCTTTGTGTTAGGCTCTAATATTTAATCTGGGGGAGTCAGCGTTATTCAACTCATGATTTTGAAATGTTTGCGTATCCTGTATGGATTATTCTCATTTTAATTGATGGAAAAAAAAAATATGTATTAAAGGAAAATATAATGTGTGTTTTGTGAATATTAAGGTTGTTCCGTACAAACTTAAGGATTTCCAAAGCACACGAATTTCTACACAATTTCTTATAGCCTTTTATAGCCGATGGCAAAAAAGCAACAGCCAGGCGATAAAGTGTAAAGCCCGGCGATAGGAGCTATAGCCCGGCTGCATATTTTTTTATCGCTTCTTATAGCCCGGCCGTATGATCTTCTCCGCATTCTACAGCCAGCTGTATGATTTTCTGTAGCCTTTTTTAGCCGGCTATAAGAATTCCTAAGGTATTTTGAAACGCAGCTCTTATCGCCAATTTTTACCAGGGGACGCATGCTCCCGGCTGACCGATTTCTAACGAACATTATACTGAATATTTAATGAAATTTGAAAGTATCAAAATAAGAAACCAGACTCATATACAAATGTACAGGTTATGGAAATGAATGGAAATTTTTATAATGTCTCTCGTGAAGTTGTAATAACAATGTACGAATTTTCTTCCTCTTCACAAGCCTTGTATCCTGGTAAACAAACGCTCTAAATAGAAATGTTCACCATCGAGGGAGAGATGAATGAAACAGTTGCGTTTTGCGATATATCGAATAATTTGCCGATTAAACCTGTGGAAGAGGATCGATAATTAGGGTGTTCACAACGAACACCTTAGGAATCGATTCTATTCTACAGTTTGGAGTGGGAAGATATCGATAATCGATCATTCACGCCTCTCCACTGGGATGAAACTAACGGAAATAGGACAATCCTCGGCAAAAATCTCCATCAAATTGTGTTCCGAACTTATTAAGTTGAAAATAAGAAAATCCACGTAAGCCTCAAATTCGTCGACCAGTCAAAGAGCAGCACCTTTGTTTGAAGTAAAAGGATTGAGAAGACAACATATTTCCCTCCATTGGTCTGTTATTCAGGTGCTACAAGTTGTAGCCTACAACTAATGATAAGTCCTGTGCATTTCTGGAGAAGGAAGTAAAGCGGTAGTGCCTTCAATTTTTGACCATGCAACACGCCTATCCGTAGAACACGAAGAGTTGTATCCAGGCGCTACAATCAACTCAGTCCAGCCGTCGTAAAGCGAGATGGTCTTCAATCTCTGAACATGCAACACGCAGATTCAAGATACTACGACTAAAACCCAAATTAACAAATCGGAATTTTTTCTTAAAAAACTTCTGAGCAAAATGAGACAATGAATCGTAAAATTTATGTAAATTATTTGGAAATTGTTTGGGCACTTTTAAGTTTCCTTAAAAATCTCGCGAAAAAATCGGCAAGTGGGGCACATTCGTCAATTAGCGTTAGATTGCTTATAAGATGAGCGACTAGCCCATTTGAGTAATTTTTAGACTTTTGACCGGCCAGTCTGTTGATTGGCTGCCCAGTTCAAGGACTGGGCAAGAATATCGGTTAGTTCGCAGACAGAGAAATTTTGAGGAGGGGGTATAACACTCGTGCTGAAAATCCAGACGTGCATTGGCATTTCTCTCAACAGGATTATTGCTGATCTCGGAGTTATGTAAATGTATAACATTAAATTTCACTTGTATTTCAATATTTTCGTTCCAGTGTACTCACAGTGAGCCCTCCGATATAGAATGACATGGAATTTCGTAACATTTTACAAACATTAGCATTTTGGTAAGAAGAAGGTTTGCATTCACAAAATGTAGTCAACACTGATACCTCACTTGCGAGTCGTATTTTGAAATTTAGGGGGAAAAAAAAAAAAAAAANTAGCCACATTCTTCGTGAAATTTTGATGAGAATATGATGGCCATTCTGCTGATCCTCTAAAAAAGATAAATTTAACCGTTTTTTTTTTTTTTTTTTTTTTTTTTTTGAAAAAAAATTTAAATCTTTGAAACCCATAAGTAAAATACATTGAAAGAAGCAATCACTCCAGCGACGTCAATGCAATCTGTAAGCATAGTTTCATTAGAGACTGCGGAGGAATTTCTCAAGTATCATTTTATAAGTACGTGTCCCACTTCCCGATGGTTTTTTTTGTGCGTATTTTGGTTTTCTTTTACCTATTATTTTTCTATAAGTTTACCATTTGAATTCCTATTTTAACTTTTTAGAATACAAAGTTCGGAAAATAATCTTGGTTTTTTATTCACCCCTCAGCCTTCATTATGGTTACTAGGGCCCTCAGCTAAGTTAAAATGAAAGATACTTACCGGAAATGAACATTAATATGTTGCTATCAATCGGACGGAACGAACAGTGGACGGGACAAAAAATAACACACATTTTTTCCTCCGTCAAGTCACACCTCGGATATCCACAGGAACCAGCGTGGAATAATGCATAATAATTACCTAATGGTCAAGCGAAATTTTCTGTGATTGATAAGACATAACTCAATGCCTTACTTATACCTCAATTAGCCGTGCCTGCAATACTTACATGCGTAGACAAGATAAGCAGTACTTTCATGAAATGCGGCTCAGAGGTGCACACGAAATGCACGGCCGGACTCCACAAATGGGAAAGTTTAATAATTAGCAAGCATTAGGTACCTCATGCTCTAAGATTTAGATGAGTTGAACAAACGGTCTACCTACTTCCATAAGTTAAAGAGGCAGTTTACCTCTCATGCAAAGAAACAATTTTCTTTTTTGTTTGCATTAATAAACTCTTTTCTTTCGAGGGCTTTTGGAAAATATGTCGATGAAACTACCAGACCACGTATCTCGGTTTGCGACGTGTAGACTTCCTGTGAAACTTTATTTTTTAAATGGAAAACTACTCAAAGCCAATTTTTGTTAACTGCATTCGGTGTATTTTCTTCGATGTGTGAAGAAAATTCCATGAAAATTTCAAAAAAAGATGATGATTTGTTCCTCCTCAAAAAAAAAAAAAATGGGAGTGGAGATTTTTAATCACCGCAAACGAGATACGTGGTCTGGTAGTTTCACCATAAAACATAGAGTCGATAAAAGGATAAAAAAATTACATTGGCAACTTTCACTACTTTCCACTTCTTTTAATTTACAAAAGATCATTCAAAAAGTTTCCCTATATTAAAAATACAGCAACGATAAAAAAATTATTGAGGACTAAAAGAAAAACAACTAATATTTATGAATATTCACGATTATATTCAATGCTACATAATGCGAAAATTCATGGCCAAATCCATGGATATAAAACTGCAAAGTTTTTTCTTTTTTACACTTAATGATAAATTTAAACTATTGTGTCAACATATACCAATTGTAAGTTGAAATCTAACACAATAACATGTAATAACAATTAATGGGGAAACCAGACTTGCTTATATATAATCAAAAAGCTTAGACGATAGGCACAAATGAGTCTTTTCTTGAAAGATATTGAACATCCTCTTAATTCAACCCCTGACGTTCTACTACTCATTGTCATCTATGAATCAAAGTTTGACTTTGATGCACGAGCATGAGTTCGTATCACGGATACAATTCATTTTCAGGTGCAAAAATGGTGAGAGACCATTTAAAAAATTTCCTAATTTCCAAACTATGTCGGTCAACATTAGTGTATGTGTAGACATATTTGACCCCCCCCCTTCCTTTACTTCCTCGTCACTAGATTCAGCTGAGATGGCATCACTAATTTTCTTACCAGTCCACACAATAATGATGTAACCTATAACAAACGTTGGTACTCGCAATGTCGAAAATGGCCCGCTCGCTTATTTTGATCTTTCAAAATCACGAGCATGTCAAATGAGTATTGGCGCTCATTCCAGTTGGATTCTGCTAAAAAATTGCGTTAATTTTATAATCATTTAGGTGACTCAGACTTTGGATGAACCAAGTTTCAGCAAGATTTATCAGTAGGTTTACGAGAATTTAACCTCAGAAAAACTTCAATGCTCTCCATGCGCACGTGTTTTCGCGCGCTTTGGAATAGACTATCCTGTTCGGAGAATTTCCGCGAGAAGTTTTGGATCAGCCTTTGACTTACTGCCAAACTCCATGAAAATAAAACGGACCTCTCTCTCTCTGAGCGGCCATGTGCCGGCAAAATTCAATGTCCATGTTGGCAGCAATAACGACTACATACAAAATTCTTGACCCACCCCCGAGGTAGTCATCAAATCGTAGTGTTTAGTTTTTTACCTGTATTGATTTTTTTTTTTTTTTAGTTGGCAGTTCTGTTAATTCGGGTTCAAAAGTGAGCTAAATCCGTTCGCGAAAATACGCCCTTTGATCAGCTTCTCCTACAGCGATGCTAGAATGCATCGCGTGGCAGTGGCGTGGCGTGCTTTCCGATACATCGATTGTTATGCCATTTAAACCTATGGGAAAGGATCGATGAACACAATGTTCGCATACCGATATACCTTAATAATCGATTCTTCACCATAGCTTCAAATGAATAGCTATCGATAATCGATCATTCACGTCTCGACGCAGTTGTGTGGATAGTCCATTTTCTGGCTGACCGATCGCTACTTCGCGTTAGGCCGATATGCGAGTACCCATCTTTATTCTAGGTCACCCTCCTCGCTTCCTCTTCAGCAAGATCTCAATAACCACTGGTAAAAAAACCTCTTGGACCAATGCCGCATTGCATTGACTTTAGAGTGCAGTTTCTTGTCGCCGGATTTAAGAGTCTTGAACTCTTGTTTCAAGCGGATTTTGCATTGATTCAAGCGGATTTTGCAATTTTTTTTTGCTTTATTACAATTTCTAACTACTGAATTTATCAATTTTTATCATTATAATAAAATAAAAATCAGAGTTTTTATATTTATTTCTTTATTTTTATTTATGTTGATTATCAATATTTTAGGTTTGGTTCCTTATATTTTCTCTTGTTCTTCACATTTTGTGTTTTCTGTTAGTTTTGGATTAGTTTTGGTTCTCTTGTTTCAATGAAACAAGAGTCCAGACTCTTAAATCCGGCGACAAGAAACTGCACTCTTGAACCAAGAGGTTTTTTTTTTTTACCAGTGACTGAGACCGATACCCCTCTCGTACTTACTGTCGCGCCCACCACCGAATGATCCATAGCCTCTCTCAGCTGCCGTCTTCAAGGGGTCGGGACTGTTCGACGGCGGGAATCGGAAGAACTTCCTGAACATCTCGGTCCCTTGGCGCATCATGGACACCTTCCCTTCGGGCGCCACCTTCTGGACGACGCGATCCAACTTCTCGTCCATCTCAGCGATGGTCAGCTTCAGGTCGCGGATGGCCTGCTGGATCGTGTCCATCGTGGTGCCGGACATAACTCTGAAGGGGCTCTCGTTGCCGGATGGGATCTTGTTCAGGGACGGGATGGCGTTGAGGGATGGACTGTTGGACGAAGATTCCGCTGCTGAGGGTGCGGCCACAGCTCTGGTTTGTGCTTCTGGCTTCGGCGCGGTTGGTGTGGGTTGAGCGGTCGCGTCGAAGTATGAGAATGAAAGGGGGTGGTGACTCGCTCCGAAGAAAGTGTTTAAATCATGCGGGGATTTCTGGAGGCTTTCTTCTTTCGGGGAGATTCCTTCTTTGAGAGGGATTTCTTCTTTTCGGAGGGCTACATAGCTGGTTTCGGCGTCCGTTGCCATCGCTGTGCAGGTGATGGCAAGGCAACCGAGCTTGAAAGAACAAAATAGTGTGTTAATACAAATTAGTGTAATCGATTGAGGATTCTGCGCATAGGAACCCCATCCAAGCAGCGGAAATATTGCAATAATTGTGCAATTCAATGCAATGAAATTGCAATTTCTTCTATCATGTATAATTGCATTGTTTTCACAGTTATTTGGTAAGCAGATGACGATTTTAAATGATCAATGAAATGCGTTTCAAGCGCGAGGGAGGTTGACAATTAGCAATGCAAAAAAATTGCAACTTTGGTTCAATTTTATTGCAATAAACAAAGTAGGGAGCGAGCCCCTTCAACCAGTGACTAGCCAACATCCACATAATTTTCCGTTACGATAGCAATCATTTTACCGTGTGGTTGCAATTCATTGCAACCGTGCTACTCGAGGAATGGTTTTGTTGCAGTTGCACACATGAAAAACACCCAATCATTAGTGTTTTCGTGAGTAAAATCGCGCATACATCACATTGAGTGAGTCAAAAATACGCAGCCACACTGCCGTAAGCAACTATTACCGCTCCAAAGCTGCTCACTTTGCCTATTTAAGTATTGAAGGCGAACCGGTTAGTGTGAGTGTGGAACGGTGCACCATTAGTACATAGAAGTCATTTGATATAATGTTTAATGCGAATAAACATGGCTACATTATACTGCAAGCAACACTGCTCCAGAGCCGCTCACATTGCTTACTTTAGTATTGAAGGCGAACTGGTCAGAATGAGCTCGAGGCGATGCACTGTTAATGGTAAGCCACTAATCGACTGTGAAACTACCATACCACATATCTCGGTTTGCGACGGTGTAGACTTCCTGTCATACTTTATTTTTTAAATAGAAAACCACTTAACGTAAATTCTTGAAAACTTCCAGGATTTTTTTTTTCTCTATACAAAGAAAACTCCGTGAAAACTTCAAGGAGTAACATTTATTTGTTCTCTCAAAAAAATAAAATGGAATGACAGATTTTCGAATGCCGCAAACGAGATACGTGGTCTATCAGTTTCACCATCGTAATACAATGTTTAATACAGGTAAACGTGGTTATATTGGTGGCAACATTATTCCGCATTCAACGTTCACATTTTCTCTATATGTACCAACAGATCACCGATGGATTTTGGTCATTAACTAGGATCAGAATTTCATTACTGATACGAAAATTTCTAGGCATATGAATGATGTTTCATGAACGATTTTTTCTTTATCTCTTTTCCAGGTCCGCTTGCGAAAGTCACCGTAACGGTAGAAGATTTTCTGGTTAGCAATAAAAAAAAAATCATCCAGTAAATCACCTTAGCGGTAAAAAGCTTTACGGTAAGCGATAAAAAGGTCATCTAGTGAAGTCAATTTAGCGGTGCTAAGAAGAATTTCTGGGAGAGGATATAGCGTGCCTTTGAGTAACGTTTCATTTGTAAGCACAGCACCGACGAATGATGTCATCCGTGAAATAATTAGCAGTTTGTCAGCTTAAAGGAATACTACTTAAACTGTAGATGAACTAATTGTAATTTGGATGATATTCTTTCGGGGGAAAAAAGTAAAAAGGGTGTTTGGATAAGAATAGCTTTGATAATGGGGGATGCGAGACCCTGCAGAGAGATAATTTTAATTTGGAGACGTAAAATGTTGGATGGGAGTGCAGTTCAGGCGTTCCGTGCTAAAATGACATTATTTCTTGGATGCGGTGTCTCAAAATCTTCGCTGCTAAT